GCTAGATCTGATGGCTGTGCTCCTTATTTATGTACCTGCACGCATGAGCAGTTGTGTCTGACTCTTTGCGACCCCATGGACTGCAGCCCACCAGGCTCCTCTGTCTATGGGATTTGCCAGACAAGAATACTGGAGTGGGTTGCCATTTCCTCCTCCAGGGGATCCTCCTGACCCAGGGATCAAACCTACGTCTCCTGTGTCTCCTGTACTTCAGGGACATTCTTTACCCACTGAGCCAGCTCCTTATTTAATCCTGACCTAAAACATTTTGGGAACCTCACCAGGTTTCATAGTATACCATAAGATCACAGGATAGCAATGGAACTGGACTGTTTTGTTCCCTTCTTCACAGAACCCAAGGACCAAGCACAGCAATATGTGGCCAGGACTCTATGAGCTTCCTTTTCTCAGTGCAGAGCTACCCCTTCAGGACAAGAGCAGCCTCCTGTCTCTGCTCCCCACTCCCCCATCCTGAAGAGACAGATCCCACACAGTGGGTCCCTGGGCAAACTCAGTAACATTATCTCATTTTTTTAAGGCACTGCAACTTCTGAGAATGTTAATGTGTTAATAATAATTTATCCCATTCTCCTGGCAGGAACAAAACTGAAGCAACTTGAAATGCCATCAGCAAAAATTATTTATTTTCCATTCCTGAGCAGTGAAGAAAACAAGATTTCGTTGGCCAGGTCCACTCTCAATAGCTATCTGGTTTCAATTAAAACTTCAAGTCTCCAAGGGAAAAACTGGCATTCTGAGTAGCTGAGTTTCAGTGTCTCTACAAACTCCAGAAAGGATGTCCCATCCAAACAGCCAACCTCTCCTCTTCCTCCTTGTGCATATCATATAGACACTTCAGAGCAGAGACTAAAGTACAACTAAAAATAATGACCAGGTTAAAAGAACTCTGTGCTCCTAGAGGTACATTTTTTGTGCCAGTGAAGTATTGATTCTGCTCCTAATGGAACTGAAAGTCAAGATAACAGCAGAAATGGAATCAGGAATCCAGGGGAAAGTACCAACCTATTTATTTCTTCTTCAGCAAACTCCTGCCTCCCCCCACTGACCATTTTCAACTAAATTTGCTACAAAGATTCCAAGTACTGTTTTCTCTTTGCCCTCAGCTCTCATTTTTAGGTCAAGTGACTTACAAAGTAGCTTACCATGAATAATGCACACACAGGACCAGAAGTCCTTGTGGCACCAAAGGGGCTCCTTGGTTCACACGGGGATACCCCTAGGCTTCCCCTGTGTGAAGTGCAGAACAAGGTCTGCCAGCGATGCCTTCCTGTGGGATGTTCTGATGTTAACATACAAAAGGTCAGATTACACCCCTTCACTTGCCCAGCCCATTCGTGAACATATAAGGCAGTTGATACTATCTCCCAAGCTATAACTGGCCCCTTCCTAACCATATCACTGCCTCTCAGTCAATCATCCTTGTGTTCACTACAAGCCATTCCCCACCTCCAGTTTGTTTATTTCAGTGACACATCTATTTTCCCTGCTAACAGAAACAAGTCTGCTTTCCTCCTCTAGCTTCCGATAGCATTCACTCACCACCTCCTCCCCTCTGCCTGCGCTCAGATTACTATAGTGGCTAGCAGTTCCCAGAGACCAGCTCTAACACCGATTCAACTTCCCAAGACTAAGACTTTTATTTTCTTAATGGGGGAGGGGAGATGGTGTGCAAAGCAGCACTTTCTGCATACCTGGTCTCCTGTCTTCTCAGGCTACATTCCCTGAAGTTGGCAAATCTCTGTGTTTAGCCATACTCTTCTGATCTGCCCTAAAGCCCTTCTTTGGTAGCAGGCAAAGTAATTAAGTACAGAGGACAATAATGCATCTTCAGCTTCACTGGGACTTCCAAGTGAGAGCAAAAGAGATCATGTCTCCCTTCAGGAGTCTTGGAATGGCAGAAAGTCACAAAAAGCAGGAGAAAGGGGAAGGAGTGACCAAGGACTGTAAACTGGCTACATTTTAAAGTGCTACAAACTTTCTCCTCCCTCACACACCCCTGGAGAGTTGGCTCCACCTCCCCATCCTAGCCAGACAACATCCAACTGGGGTGTGTGAGGGTAACTCTCTCCGGGCCTGCTGGTCTGGCCCCAGTGTTGCAGATGTGGCCACACAGAACAACACCCTTCTTCCTCTCCTCTCCTCTCTCCTCTCCACGTTCTTTCTGAGCCCACTCCTGCCCCTCCAAAACACATGAGCATGCATGTGCACACCTACACACATGTTTTGAGGATAAAGATGGGCTGGGAAGGGCAACCTGATCTACCTGTGTAAACTACAGGATAGTTAAGAGATGGGGCAAGACTGCCAGACAGTTTTGGCAATAACAACTTTATAAAGTTAGATTTTGCACAAAAATACAGGAAAGGAAAAACAGGATGAAGAGTAAAGGAATGAAAAGGAACAGAATTTTAAAAAATAATGTAAGAGGAAAACAAGTAGTATTAGTATCTCCATAAAGACCGTGGACTCCAACTAACTTTTAAAAAAGGTGTGGATGGTGATGGAGGGGATGGGGAGGCTTGAAAGAAAAAGTAGCTGTGGTAGAATTCCAAAATAAACTGCCCTTTCAGAGAAGAGCTTCTGCAGGGATAAAGAGACACACAAATTGGCCTTTTAGCATTAGATGTCAACCATGAGATTATCAGGACAGTTTATTTGAAGCGGAAATGAATCGGAAATCCTTCCCTCAACAGTCCTCTTAGACCAATATATACACCTTCAGAACCCACATAGGCACACATAAAGAAGAAATGCAGCATCAAGGGGCAATAAGAACCCCCTCCCCACATCAGCAGTACCTCTAGCCTCATCTCATACTTCCAATTGCACAACTTTCCGATCTCCAAAGAAAATATTTCCAGTTGGATCCTCTTTCAGAATTGTAACTGGTGTGGGTTGTGGGAGGAGGGGTGTGTGCAGCCTGTCGGGGATGGGGACTGGAAGACAGCATTTCGGTAGTTACTTATTTTTGTACAGCCAGCATGCTCTACCGATCAGAAATTGCTATTACCCAACAAAGCTTCTATCACAAACAGACACCAAAAACAGCATCAGCGTTATCACCATCTTGCTAAAGATCTGCCCGGTCCAGTTTACCTGACTTTGTCTCTGTGGAACTTCTTGGACAGTATTGTAGTCAAAGGGATAATGGTTTGAAAGACAAAAACAATAAATCGATACTGAAGGGCTCCCTTTCAGGAGTTATTTCCCACTGGAAACCACCGAACGGGAAAGCCTGTCGTTAATTCCCAAGCCCACGGCTCCTCTAGAAACACACACAATGCGTGCTTTCAAAAAGGGCATTCGTCTGCTTTTAAGGGAATTCCTGTCTTTTCAGAGTCCCAAAACCGGAGAGCACGAGAGAGACTCAGATCCATTGATTAAGATTTTAAGAAAAAAACTAACACAGAACCACGACACAAGCACACACCAACCTTCGCCGGCTGGACCACTTCTTCCCTGTTCTTCTTTCTATTAACGACACGTTAGATTCTGATACATCCCCCCCCTCCCACCTACCCACCCACCCCCAAAATCCAACTAGATACAATGTAGCTCTCTAGCTCCACTTAACCTGCAAGTTACAAAGAGAGAGGGAAAAAAATATCCTGCCGCCTTCCCACTCCTTTCCCTACCCCCTCCCCCTCTAGGGGATCAGATTAGGCCAAACTCAATAAGGTCCCAGACCTCCAGCCCGACGCTGCCACCCTCGCCGCCACCACCGAGTCACTTCAAATGAGCCAGCATCTTTGCCCACGGCCGGCTGGCCGGAATCGCGCCCATCCTCCGCAGCCTCGCCGGGACCGGCATCCCGCCCCTTCGGCCCGGTCTCCCAGTTCCCGCCGGTGCAAAGTCAAAGCCCCGGCGAGGCAGCGTTAACTTTTGCACGCAGAGAACACACACCGCCCCTGGCCCCGGGCGTGCGGGGGCCCGCGGCGCGGCGGGAGGCTGGGCGCCGAGCTCCCGGGCCAAGGTCGCTGCGCGTGCTCACCCACGGCTCCGGCTCCGCTGGCCCCGGCGCTCGCTCAGATCCCGGCTCCCGTCGCTCGCCCGAGCCCCCGAAGGTGCTGCTGCGGCAACTCCATGGCGATGAGCATCTGTCACACGGCGAGCCGCGGGCGGGCCGCCCTCGCTCGGGGGGCGCCGGGGCCCCCGAGCGCGCGGAGGCGGAGGCGAGCGGCGGG